CAGCGTCGCTTTGACCACCACAAATCCCACGTGACGTGACCTAGGCTCGAACCCGGGCCGCCGGTAACTAACCGCCCGAGCTGTGGCAGGTACCCTCCAGATGCTACGGATATGGTTGCTTCATCTCGGCCACTCCTCGTCCGGCGCAGGATTCCACTGCGACTTCCCACGCCGTGACGTCACGATTTTCTGCGTTTTCCGACGCAACCATAAACGAGACAGATTTCTGGGAATATACTGGCCGCATGGAATGCAGCCACGGCGGCCTTCACAACTATTCTGGCCGTGTCTCTACTGTGCTAGGGTTGAATGGGCGTGGAAGTGACGCTCCGCGGATTCAGCTTCACGCTTCGACCGCTCTTATTCCGGTAGATAAGAGACTGATGACTTCCCCCTGACCTACCCACCGTGTCAGCTGACAGACGGAGAGAACGATGATAGGACACAGGTGCGCGCCCTGTCTTCTGTTACTGCCAGCATCACAGTGTAGCTGCGAGTGGGGATCCTGCAGTGCAAACTGCTGTGATGAACTCCGGCCCTCCGAATATAAAGCACTGGGTTACCGTTGCCGTTCCACTTCGCAGTGTCGTGATATGACATACGGCAGGTGCACATAAAAATACCTGATTGGAGGGCGAAGCTAGTCGCGTACCAAACGTCACGGTGCAGTAAGTGGTGCTCCTGCTTCATATTCGGGAGGTCCTGAGTTTAGAACTCGTTTCGGACGCCAGGCATTCTCACTGAGGTGTTTCGTGGTTAACCGCAGTTCCTATAGGCAAGTAGCAGTATAGTAATTTAAACTAGGCCACGACCAGTTCCCTCCACCTTCAGCATTCGACTCTGTATAGTGTAACTGCTGACAGAGGTGACAGCAGGGCTCCACATTCAAGCTACGGTGCGGATTGAACCAAGGGTATTCCATATTGGCTACAGCATCACAAGCATGTGTCACATCGGAGGGCTGTGTTCTAGTTGCGACCCTTGTCAGGGTAGGCATGTACCTCATGGTTTGATTGCTAAACCTTCACAGGCACAGTCACAGTCACCATCTTGTTTGCCACTTTGCTGGGGGTTGGAGACGGGTTAGTTCAGTGACTAGGCCATGTGCTGATCGACTGAGAAGTCGTGGTTCCATTCCCGGCAGGGGCAGAAGATTCTTCTCTGATCCACAGCGTCCAGCTCGGCTCTGGGGTCCATCCAGCCTCCTGTCCAATGGGGATAAAGCGGCCGGGGTGTCAGTCTGATGACTCACCTCCGTCGAGTACCGAGCTGTACCACCACTACCGCATACGTGTTCATGGCGTGGAGCTTACTTAAGCAGAGGCACAACTTTTCCTCACCTTCTGTCCACAACTCCCCGGTACCCATTGTGGGTGAGAGCGAAGTCCCCTCCCCTACTGGACATCAGACCCATACAAACCTTGGCCTTGCCACTTTTCTGAGTTATCCCGGCTTCTTGCAAAAAGAGAACTAGGCAAATCGGCGTAGCGCTGAAGAGTGCAGACACGTCCCGCCGTTAGTCTCCCGTGCTGCGTACCTCGTTACATCGTCGTGAAATAAGCAGCGTTGATGAAGATCTGTCAGGTGGTGGCTGAGGTGTTGCACGCCACTGATGCCCTGTTACCTGGCAACGCGGAGAGCGAGGTGCGGCCTAGACCCGGCGCGGGGCCACCTGCTACCTTATAGGAGCTCAGTAGCGCAACCCGGGGCCCCAGCACCCCATGCCACTCCATGACGGGCTGCCCGCATCGTGAACTACCTAGGGACACGTTGTGGGCCCCACACGGGGTCAGGGGGCCCCAAAGGCGGGTGCTGGCTCAGTAGGGGGCGGGGGACCCAAGGCCGCCTTCAAGTTACATCAGCAGTGTTGCAACGTATCCGGCGCCACGACCCTTCAAGGTCGTTGGATGCACCTGCATGGGGTTCGAGGCCCGTCCTCTCTGTTCACACATGGCGAGTGGTGGGTTTCACGCTCCGGTCGTCTTACCCTACGCTGATTGATTTGGACACGAGAGCAGAGAGAAGACTCTCTGTTACTGCCCGATATCGAATCCCGTTCTTCTTGACAATAACAATCGGAGCCAAGCGGTCAACACTGCTGCTTCGTACTCGGCATGTCCCGGGTTCAGACCTGGGGCTGAAGACCGTCGTGGTTATCCCTCTCGGCAGATGTTACGATAGTCGCTCATAGTAGACGTCGACCACTTCCTTCAGCTTCCCTCGTAAATCATACTGAGCCACTAGCAGCGTCCTTATGTAATCAACAAACAAACAAACAAACAAACACACGTCTCCAGAAGCTTGCTTTCGTGGTTCCTCGTGGCTAATTTCAGGAAAATTCCATCGGATGGCCCACTACCGCCTCCTTCCAGATCCCGAGGCTTCGCTGAGAATGTCAGCAGGGCCAATCACGTGTCAGCAGTCCTGAGTGTCTCGACTTTGCCGCGGGTGTTACACAATCCGGCTGGAACAATTACTGAAGATGTCATGGACAGCGCATGCGTGTTACACAAGCGTTCCAGCAACTCTGTAGCAGGGGAAAGGTTGGCAACCGTCAGTGCAAATTAAAACAATGGCGTTCCTTGCAAAATACGGAGTATTTGCCCCGCAGGAATTTCTCCCAGACAGTGTTTGAGGAGTCTGACTTCGAAGCCCACGAAGGGCGGCGTCCGGGCGGACAGATGCCCGTACAACTGCCGGCATAAAACCATCTGTTTCCATGGTGATGTGGGTCAGTCGATATCGAAAGTGGTGACAACAGGGTCACACCGGGTGACCCACAAACCATGCTCCTCTAATCTTCTTATGACTCACATTGTATCACTGGCACAAGGTGACTTGCAAATTAGGTTCCTTTTACTATTATGCGGTGGTCAACAAAGTGCATTCTATAATCCGTCCAGTAGGACCATGCTACAATGAGTGATACAGGGTGATTCGCAACTAGGATTATTGTTATCAGTACAGGTGTCCAGTGAACTGAGTTTACGTGACCCACAGCATACATCATTATTGTGACTCGCAAATCGGGTTCTTATTGTCGATATAGGTACATTCAAGAATGACATTTCTGTACTGCTTGCCATAATATTTTTATGTGGTGCGTACAGTCCGGTTTGTAACTCATGTTTCAGTCATTGTCTCAGAGTGATTTACAGTTTACATTCCTGTTGTGTGTTTGTAATGCAAGATAGTATGATTAATACAAGGTGACCCACAGATTTCGTTACTGCGATTTGCACAGTGAACCCGCCCTGTTACTGAAGTAGCCTCATGTTCCAGAGACTAGTCCCCGACCCAGGAGCGGGTTAGTGCAGCGGTGACGCGGGCTCGGTTTGTGGCCAGGTTACCGCCGAAAACAAGCTGTGAACGTAAAGCTGTCCCAATGCTTAACTAATTAAGCACTACACCATGAAGACGCATGAGGGAGTGGATGTGTAGATCCACGTTTTCTTGCCCTCGGTACTGGTTACCCCCGGTACCCATTGGATAGGAGGCTGGTGGGCCCCAGAACCTGTCTGGACGACGTGAAGAGGGGAAGAATTCTGCTCTTATCGAGACTCGAACTCCAACCTTTCGGCCGTCGAACACGTAGCCAGCCGCTGTACGTCGCGCTGACTACGATATCCCGGCTGTAGCCTTGAGCTAATTTCTTGGTTATGAATGCGGTGGGCTTTGCCTGCAAGCCACCGTACACATTGTGCTGAGCGCAGGCTCACATTGTGAAGCGGCGACTGAATAAGGTACACAACAAGAAATCTGTCAGCCATTGCAGTGCTATGGACGACATATTTCGATCCGATCAGGTGCTGTGTGCCTGTCTTCGCAGTTAAAGCTGATATACTGTGTCCAAAACATCCGTGAGGTTGCGTCATCATCAGAAAGTGACGCAGATCGCTACGTCGTCATTGGAAAGTTACTGGACTCTGTTTTCAACATAAGATGGGAACCAAATCAGTATAGCGGAGATTTCGTTGCTGTGAGGTTGCCTGCTCGAGGTATGACGTGGCCTCAGGGATGTTCTGGGCACAGTGTAGGAACAGAAAGTACCGAAAGAGCTGAGTGAAACACAGACTGATGTTACGTTCCGCCTCGAGATGCATGAACAGATACGCCTGCGGCAGTCAAATTCACAATTATTGCATGTGATCAGTGGTACCAGCTTGGAATCCCCTTCCCTCTGTGTCGCACGCTTCGTGTAAATGGGTTCATTCGAAGGCAATCAGCTGTCGCGATGCGGCCATGTTGTGTTGGCATGTCATCAGTACGCGCTTAAAAACCGGAAATTATCGCCCAGGTGGCCGTGACAAGAACAAATAAACATCTCGCAGCAAGACCTGCGTTAATGTGGCACCAGAACGGGGGGGGGGGGGTGGGGGAGGCTGCCTCCGCTGCTGTAGTGACGTTAACACTAATAAGTTACTTTGTGCATAAAACGGTCTGGGCCAACTTTTGGAAAGATCGTATTTGATTCCTTTTGGAGGTTGGGTCTATGAGGAACCGAACCCAGGATCGTCTGCAATATGGAACTAACGCAAGGAACGTCAAACTACTGACGTCATTTTCAGCCTGTTCTCCGAGAGTCCATATACGTAGCGTCGATTAGTATCGTGTGTTGCAAAATGAGAACACGTGTTTCACATTCTTCTGTTTCCCGCAGTTGTACTGCGCAGGTGCAGCCCGTATTTTGTTTCCTCACACTAGTTTTCATGGGACAGTGAGGTACTAACGATGTCCGAGATCTTACCGAGATTCGAACCAATTACCTTCGCATGAAACTTCGCTCCGAGGCAATAGAAAGAGCGGTTCGTGGCAGGACGCGTTAGTTACGCACTTGTCATATACGACACTGTAATATTCAGAATCAATATGGCGTGATCCTTCGGAATACTGTAGCTCACCATATCAGCTGCCAGTGTCTGGGTATGAAAGCAAAGAAACAACTGAACGGGACAGAATTCAGCTGGCTCAAGTAATCAAAAAGGTTTCTGTTGTTGCAGCATTGCGGTGGAGTTGTGAGCGGCGCCCGCCCCCGTACCCTGGGCGTCGCGGCGCCCATGTGCGCGCTGTCATCATGGACTCGCGCATCGGGCTGGACTACATTGTCGAGAATCCAGAGTACACGGCAAAGCTCGCGGGAGGTGAGTGTTGCAGAGAAACCAGGCGTTAAATGGTAACGTCAAGCACCATGCCATGAAGACATATGGGGGAGTGCAGGTATAGCTATACCATTTTTGACCTCGACATTAAATGAAGGTGAGTGGTCAGCTAGTTTCACGCCTCTGCCGCTTTACCCCCGGGGAAAGAGCCCACCGGCACCCATTGGATAGGAGATTGGGAGGTCCACAGAACTGGTCTAGTCGTTGTGAATAAGAGAAAAACCTTGTCATACCGGGAATCGAACCCTGGCCGTCTCTATGCTAATTGAGCTGAGCTATACCTCCACTCCCCATACGTCTTCATGACATAATATTTAGCTAATTAAGCACAGCAACAACTTTACCTTTTTTTATTTAACCAGTAACTTAATTAGTTACTGAGGCATCTTACCCAACTTCAGAACTGAATCTCAGCTTTCTGAACGCTCTCCGTTTTCCTCACGGCAAGGCGGTGGGCGCAGCCTGGCGCCGGATCTGACGTCAGGTGGAGCGAGGATGAGCAGGTGTCACTGCCACACCCACGCGGCCGGAACTCTCCGTCACATCAGACAGATGTCTCTGTGGGGCCCAACTTCACTGGCTTTGTTTCATCCCCGTGCTTAACTAAGTTCTACTGCTTGAAGATTCAATGAGTACGCTTCGGCAGCCTTATCCCCCGGGGAAGGAGCCTCTGTACTCGTTGGATGGGAGGCTGGGTGCGCCGCAGATCCGGTCTGAAAACTCCGAAGAAGAGAAACGTTTCTTGCGCCTGCAGGGAATCGAAACCTGACTCCCCATCCTGTAGCCCGTCACTGTATTGACCGAGCTGTCCCGCCTCCTATGCACGTAATAGGGCAGTTTAAGAATATTAACCAAGTTCTTTGAGTTCTTAGTCTATTGGTTGCGAAACCTGAATTCGATCTCTTATTAAAAGCTATTTTACATGCCTGATTAGCAGTAGACAGGTCGCATCTCATGGCCATCCACATGCTGCATCTCCGAAAACAACCGAATGGATTTCGGCCCTGGATATGTCTTAGGCAGTGGTAAGTATGAGTACCATCTGCTGTAACATTTTGCCCACACTTGTATGTACTGTATGTGTTTCATGCGATCGCCTGTTGAGACTCATAGCTTCTGTTGCGCACGCAGCCGTTGCAGTGGTTACTGTCGTGTCGTGTTCTACTCCAGCGTTCAAGTCTCTCCGCTTCCTGTGTCGGTCCCTGCCTGTTCACAGGTGTGTGCAGAAAGTCGGCACAACTTTTGTGTTAAAGTTTCTCCATCCACAGAACATTCAGTTCACCATGAAAACCGAGAAGTGCTGTTTTCTGCGATGTGAAGCCATGCCGAAGGGCAAGCCGAGGCAAGTTACTGCCCACGCACTGCATTTACTGCACGAATCCGTCGGTCCTCGTAACTGAGAGTGAATTAGTGAAATCCAGTTTAGACGAGCTTCATGCTTTGAAGGAGTTAGTGGCTACTTCCAAGAAACAAGCAGGAGGACAGTATTAAGATTCATTGGGTGTCCAGCTAGGATTTTGACTAGGACGCCAAATATCCCGCTTGAAGATTTTCGAGGTTTTCTTTGGTCCCTGTATAGATGCTGGGACTCTATCTTAGAATTTGGCCACGACCGCTTCCTTCCACATCCGTTGCTGTTTGTTAATCACTAGTCATATCATTTAACGCTGTGTAACCTGTGGCCGCACGGACCGCACATAAATAGCTCAGTAGTGAATAATGAACGGGGAAGGAGCACGGTCGTGGCCGAATTTTAAGCCGTAGCTCCCACCCGTCAATCCAGAAGGCCCGACACATCTCGGAGAACCCCAGTCGCGGCGTCTCTTGACCGCGCTTCGGACCAGACAGCAGGCTGTCCCTGGCTGGGTGGATCAGCTGTTCGCATTTCGGCCATGTTTGCAGTGACGTAGTACAGGGAGCGGCCCCGCGCTCCACCGGTTAATGATCCGACAGGCCGTGTGTGACTCCCACGTGCGATCCGGCCCAGATGGGTTTGTCCTTGCGCACCAACTCAGGAGATGCCTGCTCTTGGCTGACCGGCCTCTTATCCCAGGGGTTTTTTTTTGGGTACTTGCCCCGGGATGGAGTCGTTATAGCGACGGGCTACGGGCTGGATGGCCCGAGTTTGATTCCCGACAGGGAAATATTTTTCTCATTTCCACAGAGTTCAGATCGACTCTGGTGTCCACCCAACCTTCTATCCAACGGGTACCGGGGCTCTTTCCCCCGGGGAAAAGCGGCGGGAGCGTGAAGCGGACCACTCACCTCCATGCACTGCTGAGGTTAAGAATACCTGGATCTATACATCCACTCCCCGAAACGCCTTCATGGCGTAGTGCTTAATTAGTTAAGCCCAGGGACAACTTTACCTGTTTTACCTTTATCTTTCATTTTCTTATCGTAATCACGTCGCTGCGTTAGAGTTGGCCACGACAACTCGTCGCTTAATTGTTGAGTCACTCAAGAACAACGTAACAAGCGGCGACGTTCTAATTTTTTTCACAAGGTGTTCGATACGAATGCTCACTGTCCTTAACGAGATTCTTCGTGATTTTCCGCAGTCTCTTCAGGCGAATACTGGGATCACCTCGGTCGGTAGGGCCTCCTGCCACATTCTTTCCTATCCTAGCTTTCGACGTCACACGCGACATCACGTAGCCTTGTAGTTTGTTACCGATGTTTCGGAGCATCGTATGCCTCCTTCTTCAGGGAAAATGACATAACCCAGTTAATAGTATGCATTCTTAACGGCGTCTCAGCTCTAGTGTCTTTTTGCGCATTTTGTGAGGTTTGAGTTTCTCACGGCGGTGATTATGAAGCATACTGGCGTCTACTGGCGTCTGGTATGTGACGCCGTGTGAGCTGGTCGGCCAGCACTTGTGACTGTTCTCCTTGCGCCTGTCGGATGTTTCTGGATTGCTTCTTCCCAGGCCTGTACCTCGATTGCTTCCTTAGCTGCAAGTGAACTTGGAGTGCAGTGCTTCACATCCCACCAAGACAGTATCGGGCTCAAGGTTTGTTCCACATATTGAGGTGGTTATTTAAGGACGCTGTCAGTATGGAAATGATACAGCAGCGCCGAAAGGATGATCAGTGTATGTTGTGCAGTTGGTGGAGTGGGGATTGGCAGGAGAGACCAGCGGACCAGTGCCCAGTGCGGATCCCACGGGACTTGACCTGAGCTTGTTCTTGCTGCAGAAATTAGGAGGCACAAAGAGAACTCACTGAAGTGTTACCAGATGGCCTTGGAGTTTGCATTGGCGAGCTGCTGTCGTAACGGCCAAGCAGTTCAGTGGTGTTCTGGTCCACCAGCCTCAGTTCGTGGTTGGCCCAGGGTCGATGGCCGCCAAAATTAGCACGTCCATGGGCACGCTGACAACGTAACGACGCAATTACACCATTGGGGGGGGGTTGGCGTTACATAACGCTCTACACCTGTATTTGCGAGGTAAGATGAAAGGTAAAGTTGTCCCAGCGCTTAATTAGTTAAGCACTATGACATGGAGACAGGGGGAGGGGGGAATAGCGGTATAGCTCCACGCATTATTGACCTCGGCACTAGATGGAGGTCAGTGGACAGCTTAAGGTCCCGGCAGCTTTACCCCCGGAACATAATGAATAGGAGGCAGGGTGGGCCCCAGAGCCGGTCTGGGCGCTGTGGAGAAGAGAAAAATCTTGCCCCTACCGGAAATCTAATCCTCGGTTCAGTTATCCTAACTGGATTTTCGTGCATTTTTCTCAGACCCTTCAGGCAAATCTCGAGTTATTACTTCGGTCAGGCCACCACCACTTCCTTCAAAACCATTTCCATTTCAACGGTGATCCTACCAGTCACGCAAAAAGCAAGGATTTGCAGCCTCCATTGACGTTTGTGGAAATGAAAGGATGCGCGCGCAGTGAACGTGTCTGCCTGCCGGCCCGTAGAGCGATAAGACGCAACCAACACCGACCGGGCTGTCTCTATGCGACCGTGTCACAGACGCCGTTCCCATGGTAACCCGAGACAGGTGACAGTCACGACACTGCATTATCCTCATAGGGTTCTGTGAGGCCGGGTAGTGGCGGGAGAGTGTGACCGAGCCGGGTGGCAAAGAGGTAATGCTCGGTTTGGAACTCGGCCGGGATACGCACTGTTCTGACCTAGGGGCTTTAGCCATTTTACTCAGACCTTCCAGGAAAATTCCGGGATCGACCGGTTCCTTCCCAGGAACAGGGTCCGGACATTGCATAGGAAACTGAAACTAGGAGTAGTAGCAGGAGGAGGAGTTGAAAAGTAAAATGTAAAGCTACCCCTCTGCTTAACCAATTAAGCACTACGCCATGAAGACGTATGGGGCAGTGGAGGTATTATTGACGTTGGCAGTAGATGGAAGTGAGTCGCTTTACCCTCGGCAGCCACTGGATAGGAGGCTGGGTGAGCCCCAGAGCCGGTCTGGACTTCGTGGAGGGGAGAAGAATCTTGACCCTACCGGGACTCAAGCCCCTATTTCTGTAGCGGTAGATACGATAAAGGAGAAGACGGAAGAGAGAAATGACGATAAGAATGAAATGAAAAGAAGAGAACAGCGATGAAGCAGGGGGCTTCCTCACGTCTTGAGAGTGAAACGGGGGGGGGGGAGTTTCACGATTTGGACTCCACCAAATATTAGAAGGACGATGAAATGAAGGAGGATTGAACGGTGGGGAATGTAGCGTACGTGGAAGAGATGAGAACTGCTATGCCCCGACAGCATTTTGATCAAAATCTTGAAAGTAAGTGACCAACTGGGAGAGATAAGTGTAAATAGTGTTAAAATGGGTGTAGGAGAAATGCGGTCTATTTACTGGATTCATCTGGCTTAGGATAGGGACCGGTGGCAGACTGTTGTGAACAGGGCAGTGAAACTTCGGGTTTCATAAAAGACTGGTATTTCTTGGCTAGGTGAGCGACTGCCATCTTGTCAGGACTGTGCTCTATGGAGTGACGTATCTGTACAGAGCCGGGAGGGAAATGAGTTCTTCCCAGAACTTATGTAACGTCAACACTGCGGATTTAACCAACTTTTGCTACACACAATTCTGTCGTCAAGGATAGGCGATGATGGCTGAACGGAGCCAACAGGGTGCCTGTGAAGCGGCTCGGGTTTGGTACACACTTCCCGGAAGTGCAGTTCTCAAATGTTCTCTAAACGTGTGAAAACTGTAGTCACAACACTTGCGTTTTCTTCAGAGAGGGTTTTCTTTTTTCCTCAGTACCGACCAATTTCGGGGAAGAACCTTGATATACACCACGACCCTCACGCTCCAACTCACTCTAGGGAAGAAACCCTTAACACTCATCTAGATGTGAGGCGCCAATGTTGGCGTGGAGCCATGGCGAAGAGGATGCCTCTTTCGGGAGGCGAACCCCTGCCATATAATTCCTAGCCGCTAACGTTATCGGATTGGGCCACAGTGTAACTGCATCCCGTGAAACCTTTGAAGCGTGGAATTCAGTCGGTCGGATCGGGTAAATTGCTGCTGGTCCTCGACAGCACAATTCTTGCTTCCGAGAACCGCGGCAATAATGCCGGTATGTTTCTGTCTCACGGCTTTGGGAGTCATGCAACCGCCCGGAGTTCGTCTGAATAGTCTTTAAACAGTCCGTACCTCACAGGAAACACGTTACGTCACTACTGCAAAGCCCAGCCTGTTAATTCTGTTTGGGGAAAGAGTCGCTGTTTACTGTGAGAACCACACGGAACACACAGATACACTCTGTGGGCAGAATTCAGGGTTTTAGTTTGTTACAGCAGGCGGTACATATAGTTACCACTGGGCTTAAATGGGATAACGCGCTGAGAAACTTTCCTGCCGTCCAGTCGCTCCCGGTCCGAGTCCCCGTGTAGGACAAACAGCCGGCGGGTCCTGCTGCTTCTTCCTTGTTTATTTACACTTTTTCGTTCTTTCTCTGTGCTTGCCCTTGTTCTTTTGGTGGCTCCGTCTGTCGCTGAAACTGCGGGCCCCTGCAGCCACCAGCAACCAGACATGCATTGGCTGATGGCATTTGTTTATTTCTGTTTGTTAGTTTGCGTAGTAACGATGTGAGATTCTGAGATGCTCTATAATATTAGATATTAGAATATGTACCACCTGCTTTAACAGGAGCCGCGAGAGCTCAGTCGGTATAGCGGCTGTACAATGGGCTGTACGGCTGAGGGATAGGGGTTCGATTCCCGATTCTCTTTATAGCTTCCTATCCAAAGGGTGCCGAATGTGAAGAGGCTGGGGTCTGAAACTGACCACTGACCTCCACTCCCCCACCCTATTTAGTTGCATGGTGCTCAGTTAAACAGAGACAACTTTACTTTGCCTGTTTTAACATTGTGAGACTCTGCATTCTGCCCACACAGTGTATTTATATGTTCCGTATGGATCTTATGATTCGCTAAACGGCATTAACCGGTTGGGGTTTGTAGTGGTGATGTCACATGGTTCCTGTGAGGTACGGGCTGGATTCTTATATACTATTCAGGCGGACTTGCGACCTCAGAGGGATAGCACGACGCTGTGAGACAGCTCCTCGCATCGTGTTTTGCTCTTGCATAAGGAACCTCGTGGCTACGGAAGGGCTGGGAGAACTTGGGGTTATATTGAAAAGAATTGTAAGGAAATTGGCCGTGTGTCCAGTCGTGTTTATGTATGGCTTATTTAACGGCGCTATCTGCACCCCAGTGTATGGAGTCGAACGGGCGGGCGGTCAGTCAATAATGGATTCAAAAAATGTGGGAGGAATTCTGAATCGAGGTACCATCCCGGTATTTGCTGGGAAGGACTGAGGAGAACCCTGAAGGACTGCAATCAGGATGATATTATACCCAGGACCTCCCACTCGATCGTGAAGTTTGGTACGTTTCCAGTCGTAGGTTTGTTCTGATAACGATAGTCGGATTGTGTTACCACACGGGTGGTAAAGGCTTGTTCAAGTTGGTGGAATTGTTTGGCAGTAACCTCCTTTTTTGTAAATCAGATCTCCGGTTTCTCTTCAGTCACGGCCCACTGAGTACAAAGTTTCGGCACCGTCTGTACGTGGAAGCAGAGGTACGGCCACCCATAACGCCGTGGAGCCGTGTAATTATGATTTCACTGGCAATTTTATATGCAATTTACGCAGTGATATCTCGTTACCATGGTGATGTTCGGCTTACTTGAGCGTGCTGCCTGTCTGCCTCAGTGACGTCAGCATTTCAACGTTCCCATTCAGAAAGGGGCTTAGACATTAGGTAATATTTTGGCCTGAGAGAGAGCAAGTAATGGGACTAAGTCCATGGAACTGAGCCCTTCTTGAGAAGCCAGTAGTTGCTCAGCCATTCAAGAAATTAGCAGATTTATTACCGCGTTCGCAAGGGCCCACCACTTCTCCCTACCTCGAACCAGATGAATCCAGTCCATACCCTCCCATCCTGTTTCAATGTCTCCGCCCTCTACGGCTGGACCCTCAAAAATTTTGTATGCATTTCTCTTGTCTCCCGCGTGGGAAGAGGCGGACGGACTGAGGCATTTATGAGGAAATTCGTAATTTGTATCCATAAGATATTATTCGGCTCAGCAAATCAAGGCGGGTGAGATTGGTGGGGCTTGTAGCATGCATGGAGTGATGGGTTATACATAAGTCTACAGAATTACGGTCGAAAATCCTGAACGGAAACGACCACTTAAGCGACCTGGGGGTAGATGGAAGGAACAGCAGACGTGTGTGGAATTAACGTTGTGATCCTTGAAACGCTGACCTCAAGGCGCTTCCTCTCCGCCGCATGGGAGCTTTTCCAGCCACTTCCGTGACGTCGCATTTGAATTTCTGCACCCAGAGAGCGAAATCTGGACTGAGCGCCTCGATCGGTAAAACAGTAGGCTCCTGGAAACCGTGTGTCACGTGTATGCAGAACAGTGTCTGTACATTGTCTTCAAGGAATGTCACGCCGTGTAGTCTGGTAGCAAGTTACTCAGCAGTTTTAAGAATGCTAGAGGAAAAGAGCTGGTTTTTCGAAACATTGGTACATTTATACAAAACTGCACGGCGTCACGTCACAAAAGAGATCCTCAAACTATGTTTAAAGGTGGGAATTGACGTCGCCTTTCCTTCGCTGGAGGATAGCAGTTGCTTGGGGGAAGACGGAAATCGGTTTGTAGGATTTGAGGTTCTCACAGAGGTGGTTATGAAGAGTTCTGCCTTCTGGAATATATCTCCGTGTAGTCCGTCGGAAGTCAACCGACGTTTCGGAGGAACATATGACCAGGGTGGGCTTATTCCTCGACCATGAAGATGGAGGCGACGTTCCTCGGAAACGTCGTTTGACTTTCAACGGACTACACGGCGTTATAGCCCAGAAGATATTACTCTTCGAAAATCGGTTTGTCCATCTCGGCGGAGACCCCTCGAACTCGTGCAGGCAACACGCTGCACCAGGGCCCTGAATGCTGACCTGTTTTCTCGTGTTGCAGCCCTCGACACGCCCAACGCTACTGTCAAGAAACAGGTGTTGGAGCTTCTGTCCGCACTATGCGTCTACAACTCGGACGGCTACGCGCGTGCGCTGGACGCCTTGGAGCACTACAAGGTACGTGTAGTGTTACTGTAGCTTTGGTGGAGTCATGGAAAGCATGAACACGGGGGCAAGTGGTGGGAGTGGGGGAAGGCAGGAAACTTTGTGCGGATTCTTTCGTTGGTTGACTCAATTGCATCATAATCGAAAGGGTAAATATTCCATGTGGTTGATTAAGCAACACTCCGTGTATTTTATGGGGGAGAGGAGGTATAGCTCCACAGTGAAGATAGCCTACTATTAATAATGTTATATTTTAGCGTCCTGTTGCACTGATTTAAGTCCATAATTTAATTCACCGTCTTCTAGTGCATACACTTATCTACCTCACTCCTCTCTCTCTCGCACTACATGTTTCGGCACAAAAGTGCCATCTTCAGGTGCTTATTCGATTAACGTTAAACTAGTTCACTGCATGCCTTGTCGTATTCATATTAAAATAATAATTAAAATATATATTTATCATATATATTGATAAATATCAAATATTAAAAATATTAAAATTGTTCAGGATTTTTCCTACGTTGTATCTCACTACTCGAGTCACATCTATCCTCTTCTGTCGGAGCACTCTTTCTATTTTCATGTGTGTA